TACGTCGTCGTCCCCACGTTCGTCGAGTTCGTATTCGTATTCGCATTCGTCGTCCCCGACCCCGTCGACTGACCCGTCCCCGCATGATAACTATCCGTCCTCGCCCTCTTCGTTTCTCTCCTTCCCGATCCCGCTCCCGATCCCGACGAAGAACCCGAATGATGATTCGACAAAGACCCTTTCGATCCCAACTTCGGCGTCCCGACATCAGAAGACTCCCTCCTCCTCCCCTCCCGATCCTTCTCCGAATCACCAGCAACACTATCCCGCCTCGTAAGCCCCCCAGAAGCACCAGTACCCCGTCGATGAGGCACCCTCCGCGTAGATCTCGACCCCGTCGATGAAGACAACGACGACGTCGACGCCGACAGTTCCTTCTCCTTCTCACCCCCCTCATCAGGATTTGCAGTCCCATCATCTCCCACTCCGCCATCGAGATCAACATCCATCTCACCCTCCTCATCACTCCCAACCCTCGTAACACTCGCACTCCGACTCCGACTCCCACCCCTCCCCAAACCCGGACTAGGACTCCTCATCTCCCTATCCCTATCCCTCCCCATCCCCAAATCCTTACTTTCATCAACATCAACCCCACCAGACTCAACCCCCCACCCAGGCTGCGCCTCAGGCGGTAAAGGCTGCAACGGCCCACTCGCGGGTACACTCCCCGGAGGCGGAGCGAGGGGATGATACTGCTGTGGCTGGTGTTGCTGGTGCTGGTGCTGATGGTGATGATGATACGGAGTAGGAAACGACGCATACGTATGCTGTCCCTGCCCCTGTCCCTGCCCCTGCCCCTGCCCCTGTCCTTGTCCTTGCTGATGTTGTCCCTGCTGCTGCAAATGTTGTTGAGACTGCCCATACCCAGGCGTCCCCGACAAACCCCCACCCCCACCCCCATTCGACCCACTCTGCGCACTAAACACCCCATTACTAGCACTATTCGGATTCCCCGAGTTGGCATCGGTGAGAGGATGAGGATCTAACAAGGCAACGGGGCGCTTCCGAACGCGGATGTCTTTGCGGATGCGGATTTTGATGCCTTGGTCGGCGAGGGAGCAGGATAGGGGGGTTGATTCTGCGTTCAGACAAACAGAGAGAGAGAGAGATTAGATTCGAATAGAATACGATAAAGGAAACGGGAAACGGGAAACGAGACTAACCTTCCATCCCTGGAAACTTTTTCGCTGTATAGACATAAAACGGAGCGGAGAATATGGATTTACAATGTCGGACGTTGTTACTGGGGGAAAAAATCCACGCGTTAAATGAATAAAGGAAATTGGAAAGAATAGAGTAAACTCACCCTACGACCTCGTACAAACTCAACTTGAGCCTATAACTCCCTTCTGTCCTGACGCTAAGATCAGGAAACACAAAAAACCCAGCATCTTCATTATTATGATGGGGGTCCTTGAGATGATAAAGCGAAGAGACAACAGAGCCAGTCGTACACCTCGTTCGACCGTCCTACCAAAGGACTCATTAGAAACAACACTGCAGTATACTCCGCCGTTCCATTACCTTCAACCAATGCAACTCCGCATCATCATCCGGTTTCGCAAGACACGCAAACATAAAATAATACGGATTCTGCAAATACGACTGCGCGTAGGATCCTACTGTGCTCGCAGTAGCGGTAGAGGGTGTGGGGGTAGCCGAATTGCCGTCGCGGTCCACGTTCATGGTACTCCCCCCGCTACCGGCGCCGCCGCTGCTGGCTGTCCCATCCGTGGCAGGTGTATCGCGGGAATCTCGAGCGCTGGGAGTGGGAGAGCCGGCCATGGTCGTCGTCGTGGAGGGACTGGTGGGGGAATTGGGTCTTTGGATGGTACGACCCATGGAGTTGGTTCGTTGGAGTGGGTCTACCACGCGGAGTTGGACGATCGGGGGAGGGTCGATGGGTCTGCGGTCGGCTACGTGGTAGGGATGTGAGATGGTTTGGTGTGAGGTGTAAGGATACCCTTGAGGCGTACCTTTCCCGCCGACCCCACACATCCTAGCCTGCTTGGGTTCTTGTCGGACGATGAGCTCATATTCTCTACCATCAAATGGAAAATAAGCAAAGGCATCCATTGCATCGAGTCAAAGAGTGAAAGCGAAAAAAAAGTCGTCAAGCAAAAAGCAGCGAAATTGAAAGACAGTAACTGGACTGGGAGTCGCCATGACCCGAGGACAAGGACCTGGATATGGTATTCCCAGCAGTAACAGCAAGAAATAAAAAGGAAAAAAAACTCACAATCTATCCCGATAACTGTCAAATGGATACGGTACAGGCGGTGGATTGGCAATAACGCCAACTCCAGACGAGCTCATTCCACGATTTACCCTGTTTACTAACAATCCCTTCTTCTTTTTAAAAAAATTAAAAAAACACAATACGAGTAACAGAAATCAGACAAGTGCTCGTGGAAGTGAAAAGAGACCCCGGTGCGTGTAAACACCTGCCAATCTTTTCTCACTTGACGTGCCGAGTCGGCCATCAATCCTACCCTTGTTTCGGTTTTTGGTACCAACTTTCTTTTCGCATACCCACCCCCATTCACTGCTACGGCTCAAAGTAATTCCCTACCCAACAACTTGGGTCCTACCTCCCACCGTTCGTCGGGTACCAGCTTCCCGGTAACGCCAACCACCGAATCATGTCGCGGGAGAGACAGACATCCATCTGCGTAACGATATCATGATTTATTGTCTTATTTCTCGTATACATACCAACCTCCCCCTTCATTTTACTTTATACACCAGGGACCGTTCATCTCGGAAATTGAGTTATGCACGTATCCATGTCTAATCGATAAAATACCCATATACCCATCTGTACCTCTCTTCCGCTCAACTTCCGCTCCCTTTCGGAATCCGACCTACGAAAGTACTTCGCCTTTCCTTTCCAGGCTTTCTCTCAAAAACCAAAACCCACTTCCAACTCCGCCTTTGTCGATCTTCTATGAAGATCTCACTTGGTCCCCGCATTTCAACTCCAATCAACACGCGCACCCGAATTCCAATCAAGACCCAGGCCTTTCCGTCCAACTCGAATTCTCCCCTCCCACCCCCCAATATATACCACTACAAACCCCGTACCGCACTCACGCCCAACACCCATTTAGTCAATTCCACCCCAGATTCCACGCTAACACCTTCCTCATCCAGTAACTCATTCATCTCATCCCATGGCCACCCTCATCTTCGCCCATACCCTATACTGAATACATACAGCTATATACAGCTCTTTCTGTATTCTTATGAGGTTACTATATATAGAGTGGAGTATATATAAATCTAGTAATCTAAATCTGTACACTTACTTTTCGACCATATGACTAGCGGAATGAGCTCGGAATGAGTTTGGAAAGAAGGTTCCAAACTTTAACACCTTTTTCAATAGGCGCTAAGCGCCAAGTTACGCAGACTGACATTTTCACATGGCCATGGCCATGGCGTTCTTCTCTGTAGTACGAGTATACCGGAGTACCTATCAAGTACAACTATAGCTACGCATCGGTACAGCAAGTCCAAATAGCCGCGGTTCCGGTACTAGTACTAGTACCTTCGAGCAATCGCAATCGTAATCGCAATCGCAACCTCACACCAACCTGGAATCTTTGAACATTAACGCGCCAATCACAGTAAGTACATAGAATACAACACTTATCTTATTATCAATTACTCGAATCAGAATCAGAAATCAACCCACAAACATCAAGCAATTCCCCTCCACATACCGTCCGTAACATACCATACCACACCATACCATACCGCACTTCAAACTCCAAGCCACACATTACACAGCTATACACCTACCGTACACTCGTATACTCTATACGTATCGCAGTACCTACGTACGTGGATCTCTAAGACCCGGCACCAAAAAACAACCGAAGGCTAAGCGTTAAGCGCTAAAGTCCTGCGTCCTGAATCTTGATTCTGAATCTCAACACCAAGTAACCAACCTTCCTTCCTTCATTCCGCCAATCAAGTACCCGCCAGTCAACTCGAAGTACCCGTCCGTCGTACCAAAGGTTAACATACTACTTACTGAGTACCCGTACCCGTACCTATCATACATAAGGGTACCTTAGTATCATATCATACTAGCCGTACCCAACCAACCTAACGGTGATTGTCGCTGATCAGCTCACACTTACGAATAGTACTCACTTACTCAGAGTAAGTATCCTACATCACGATACGACACAACACCAATGATCTGGAGCTCAAAGTCCCCCCTCTAGCCGGTTAAACTTACACCACCACCGAACGAACGAACGAACTTCAAAGTTCACCATCCCACTCAGGCTGTAAGTAAGCCACTCGCGCCTAGTAAGTCTTCGTCTCCTACCCACTCATACCAAGATACCCACCACTGAATCTCAACTCAGACTCGGCAGTCAAAGCGTTCCACTCCGAATCACTACTACTATACAACTATAAAGTACTCCAATTTAATTTCCAACAAAGTACTTACCTAGTACCTGAACCTCTTATCCGCGCCTTATCAAACAAGGGTAAGTACACAATACGATGACCTTTGGAAAGGGCCGCCTCCGCCTCCGTCCGTCGTCCGTATAATGATCGTTCTTTGCGCTACGTACATACCTTGATTCCTGGAACGTCTCTATATAATGTTTATAGTAGAAATGGGGATAACGGCTTGCTGTCGTATATATCATGATGTAGGTGCTATATATGATGTGCTCCAAAAGCAGGGACAACTATTCTTCTTTTCGTGAGTCGCGTCGGGTTGCGTCCAGAGTAACACTAAAAGCAATTTGAAACAAAACACACGCACCACGCACACTGGAAAAGACAAAAAAAGCAACAACAGTAACGACGACGACGACGACTACACTACAAGCACACATGCTACACATACAGAATCAATCATAACTCCAATCCACCAGTCCGAGTCTGAGTACGTGCCATCTTGCCACCCACATCTCGGCACGCTGCGCGTCCAGCTTGTCAGGTTTAAATACAGAATACACGAAGTATTGTCCTTCTTAGCTCAGTTGGTAGAGCGCGTCACTAGTATATTTGGTCGGATATGTAATCATGACGAGGTCAGTCGTTCGAGTCGGCTAGAAGGAATGTACATTCTTCTCAAATTTCTTTTTCCTTTTTCCTTTTTTTTTCTCATATACGTACGGTAGCCCATCGTTACATATGTTCAAATGTCCTCGATCCAGCCTTTGGACCTTCAGAAAAAAAAAAAAACAAAAAAAAACAACCTCTTATCAATCATGTAAGTAAAAAAAAAAAATAATAGTATGTAAAAGAAATCCGGGACCACTAATCTCAAAAAAGTCGATGGAATACAATTATCTGTGACTCGAGACTGTACAGAATTGTCACTTTGCCGTCTATTAACATTTGAATCCAGGGTTACAATTATAAAGGCCCTGCTCCGCAAATGTCTCCCCATATATTCCAACCCAAAATTCGGGACCTCAAAGATTTCCTTAATAATTCGGATTTGAGTGCCACTGAGAACGTATATGCAAACTCACCCTTTTCAAACAGCGTACTCGATATGTTCAAGGAATAGCCGACGATATTGTACCACCGTTTATAGTAAAGTTGTGTGATTGACTGAACATGCGAAGCAGGCCTTTGCAATCCATGAGTGCTGCATGGTACTACTAAGGTCTGTAAATTTAAGGTCCAGTGGCCACGTTCAAGGATCTCTCGTCTCTTGAGCCTGAGCTCAAGTTAAGCCTGCAGACGGACTGAATGCTCGAATCAATAGGCCTGTACAATCACGGAATACTATCCGTAACAGTACTCAGGCGAAGTTCTGCGGGGAATAACATTATTCACTTCTAGACTGCGGTGTTCAAAGGAAAAGAATTTATCACTGCATTTCTTCTTTGAGTATGGGCTGACATCTATGCTGTGTTACTGCTTTATGAGGCACCACGAGTTCCTAACTGCTCCTGGCGCTTCAGCCGGTTGGTTTATCAACCTCTTTCACCACGTTAAGGGATGTGACTCACATCGTGAGTGATGCTGTGGCTGGGAAATCATTCATCATTACTCCACAACTACGCCTCACACCCGTCAACTAACGGAAAATCCCTCCCATGAACATCAAGCAGGTCTATATTGACGATCTGAAACACGTAGAGTACACCAACGATTAAACAATTTAGTCACAGTTTGGGTCAATTTTTCGGCGCTTAACACCGCTCCAGCGTCTAAAATCCTATAGAGGAAACAGCCAGGCATGTTTAAGGCTACGCTTAGTCCGTCCTATCCTGTACGTGCTGTTGACAATGTCGAAGTTATCATTATTTGTTCAACAAGTTCTCCCACCAGTTATGGAAAGCTGCAATTTTAAACCTTCCGTCTCTAAGGACTGTCTAGTCTGGGGCCATTAGCATAAAGCGTCACCCCCGGTATAACGCTGTGTGATGCTGCTTGCATAGCGTCCCCTGAGAATTTGTCCTAAAAATCCAGAATTCATGGTCTCCAACAACCAGAATGAAAAGGCCCCCCCTGTGCGAAAAAGAAAGCACAACTTGAATCCAAATCAACCGTCTAGACTTGACACTATTGTTGTTATCAGGTCAGCAATTTCACGTCTGCGTAGCATTTTCTAGGTCTCCTCACTTCAATTCTTTCCTTCGCGATTCTTCCCGCACAACAATGGTGGCCTCGAGACAAGGGTCTCTTAGCATAAGTATTTACAACATTTTCTGCACGAGTGTCCGATTTCGCTGCAGCCCTTATTTCTAGTTCGCGATGATAGATCGATACGTAGTCGAGTATATTCGTATCTAAAGTATTGAGACTAACAGGAATACTAATAGCTAACTCCAAAGAAATTTGCCCAGGGCAGACTCAAGACCCAAACTGCTCTGACCGGCAATATGCGATCTATAAGCGATTCATAGTACTCGAAATTTCTCAAAATTTTGCCCGCTGAAGAGAAATTCAACATACCACTTGATCTTTCGTCACAGGTTTGGTCACCGTGAAAACATTTTCCCCTCCGTAATCGATAACTTTAGCTGAAATAACCTTTTTGTTCTTGACCGTTACCAAAACATTTCCGATTTTGTTGTCGCTGTTGAGGTGAGGAATGTAAATTGACAAGGCATCAAGCGACGTTCAAAAGCCAAGCATACCTATGATACATCTGCAGGGCCACAGCATCTTGCGCTACCTCTTGACACACCAGTTTATGCGTCATCTTCTTCATTTCCGCCTGCTCCGCCGGGGAAGCCTTTTCGTACTTGTCGTTTTCATCTAGCATCTCCCCAGGCTGCTTAATCATAACCAGCACCGGTACTTCGTAGCCTTGACGGACTTTTGGATCCTTCAAAGTGCCAGCTGCGACGAGCTGACGTTTTTTGCTGAGCGCCTTTGCTTCACCGAGAGCGGCCGAGGACACAGCACGTAGGACTTTGACTACGAGGCCGTGTCCGGCGTGGCCATTGAACGTCCCAGACACGGAGTAAATCCCGAGGTTGTTAGAGCCCGCTTCACTAATCTTTTCGCCCATCTTGAGCGACGTCAATTTAGGCGCTACAAAGAATACATGAAGAGAGTGAGTAAAAGTCATGCGACGGCTGTATGAGTTCAGAACTGACCGAAAACAGCCGTCTCCTGATCGGAAAAACTCTGTTTCTCGAATGCAGGTCCAAGCCAATCAGGCTATGTTCGAGAAAAATCTTGATCAGTTTCAATTTCATTGAGATCGTATTTGTACTTACCCCAGCACAACTTTGAAGAGCACGAGGAGCTGCATGGACCGTGACGGCGGCAAGGCCAGCAATATAGAATAGTACTGTTGATTTTAAAGCGACCATAGCTTCAGTATAGTGGAAAGATTGGCAGAGACGTTATAAGAACAGAGATAGACTTTATGAATCCGACCGGCGGAGGAGAGTTGAAGTTTTTTTTTGCTGACCAGCAGACGGGAGGAGGAATGGTATCGAGTTCGTATGGTAAATGCCATCCTAAATATGAGTCCCAGTAGTGGCCAGTCCCCCGTTCGACTGCCGCCGATACATGTCTCTCGAACTCTCGTTTCTGTAGCGGAAGCCCAAGAGTAGTGCCTTTCTTGGCCATTACGACCTTGCGAGGATTGCTCAATAATTTGGCTGAACTCGGGCCATGAATGGCCAAAAATGCTCAACGGAAAAAGAGAGCATGCTATGTCTGTGCCAGCAGGTCCTCGTCATCCACGTACCCGCCTTCCTTGTTTCTTCCTCGGATGTCTGTACTACAGGGTATAGTTGTTAACAGCTTCCACTATGTATCTTCTCATACTTGAGGTTGAAGAGGGTATATGCGCGACTCATTGTGCACGTAAAAGAACTTGAAGGACGGAACTATGCGCCAAGAAAATGAAAGCGAGTTTGCCCGAGTTGGAGACTCGATGGGTTAGGATCCAGGCAGGCTACCGGAAAAAGTATTCCAAATAACATTGATAGCTTACGCTACTGTCCGATTTATAACTTAGGTCCGAGCCCAAAAGTTAATATATATATTATCTGAACTACAGTACGCAAGCACGGACGTAGAATCACATTCTTGGACTCGAAAATTATTAAAACCTACGTTATGAGTGTATGCATGAAACATCTGTTCATAAAAGGCATCTCTGGGCAGTTTACCTAGTAAATCAAACAGGAACTTATCCGAGCTGGGGGGCAGGGTTAGAATCCGGGCAGGCTGCAAAATTCAAATGAAACGTCTCGAAGGACCTCGCCTATGACTGGAAATTTCAAACTTAGTCATTGAAATGGGGTATGAACGTATGTGAACTTTAACAACATTCGAGCTTCATAGTGCATACCTAATATCGCAAATTAGTAAGTAAAGAACGTAGGACCGCGTTTTCTGAGCCGAAAAAAAAGATCCCACGTGATCGTGAATGATCGATCAATGACTTGGCACCGTAGGGCGTAGCGTCGAGCTCGTAAATGAATCTTCCTTGCGCTGCAGTGCTCGATCTGGCTCTGGTTTAATGGAATTTCCACTGGCTTTCAGTATCAGTGGGTCTCAGTCGACCAAATGGATATTTGTGAATACAGGAACGACGGGCACATGCCACACAACTCAATACGGTGTTTCGCCCTGCCGCCAACCCGGGGGAGCGGAACCCAACGGAAGGCGGGGAGTGGGAATAATAACATATGTTCACTACCCAAACCTGAACGTTTGAACTATTTCCTCGACCTCATTCATTATTCCATTTTGAACTTTTTCTTAAAACCAGTCAATTAAAACCTCAGAAATTTAATATTTTGCTCTCCTTTTCCCTGGTTTTGACGCAGACTCAATGCGGAATCTCTTGAATTTGAGGATTAGCCGCGTATCCGTTGGCAAATATTGAAAATTTGTTCAAGCGCAGCAGCACGTTGCACATGTACATATATTTCACAGTTCAGCTTGCTATAGAACTCTCGGTACAATTCTATCTCGGGGCTGATAATAAGCCAAGCTATAAATATATACATCTCGAAAACTTACGCCTAATTTTCCCCCTTATTCTGCGATTACGAAACGACACGCAAATGGTAAAGCGAAAGCCCTCTTCAACACCACTTACTCCTTTCGAAATCAACCGGGGCGGACAGACTTTCCTAATCCGAGAAGCTCGCTACGATTCAAAAGAACTCGAAAACATCGCTTGGGTTGCAGCGGAGGCGTTCTTGGATGATGTGATGATGAATTATTTTGGAGGGTGTACGGAGGCGAGTAGATTGGTGGTATCTGGTGCGATATACTGATACTCGGAGCTTTTAGGTTCCGGCTTCTATTTCAACCACGGCAGGGGTTCAACTATATCAATTCTACTACTTTCTCTTCAAAGCTTCGATGCTTTCTAGAGGGAGAACTATCGTCGCTGAAGCACTACAATCTGAATCCACATCTTCTTCTGGTAATAAGCAACTTGGAGGTAATATCGCAGCAGCGGCGATCTGGTACAGGCCTCGAGAAAGACTACGGACCCTGCCTTCAATACGTGCCGGAGCTCATAGGGTACTACTGAACTGGGGACTAAGAGCATGGAAAGTGCGTAGGAGTTATCCAAGTCCCTCTAAATTAATTCCCGTAGTCAATTACCATATCGTTCA